ACAGTACTGCTAATTTGCTTGGGACATCAGCCATTTTCCGATACCTGTCCCTGGTAAATTACTGCCCCTGTTTTACCATTGTAGAGATATTCAGTAGACACTGTTCTACATTTTCAGCCCTCCTAGCCTTAGAACATAAATTTCAAGCATAATATTCAACCTATTATCCACTGCTTTTGTTTAGAATTGTTTACTTGTTTTTATAATTGCCTAAACCATTATACCTGTTTTCCTGGTTTTTCATGGCATGATTATAATGTAACCCACCCTGAATAATGTTCAGGGGGGGAAATGTGCCTTTATGAGTCCTGATCCAAATTGGGGTCTCCCCATGCTGCTTTAAAAAATGAATAAACCACCAAACAACACTTAAATACGTTCAAATGTGGTAACACATTTTAAAGGTATCATCATCAGCCCCAGGTGGTTTCAAAACAGAGAAACATCTATCCGTGAGTACCCGATCCTGGAAGAGCTGAACTACTTTTAAGATTGGTGAATAAATAAATAATATTGGACTTGAACTTGAAATTGAATTTAATTGGGACTCGGAACGGAAAGGTCTAAACAGGAAGTCGCCTTCCGTTCTTTTGTTACGTGAAGAAAGCAAAGACAAAATATACTAAAGCTTGAAAACTAAATTCTGAGAGAACTAAAATTCAACATCTAAGATTTCTGAACCCCCCCCTTTGATTGCAGGAGAAGAAGAGGGTTGTTTTGATCTTTTCAACCCTGCGGAAGTGAGTTTAAAATAAAGTAATTTTCCACCGCCCTGAACCAGGAGCGGGCTGTCAGAACTGGACGTTTTGAAGCTTATCCAGCTCGACAGATAGTTAAAAGAAGGGTAACATTTTGTTTCTCCTTTTGCCTCTTGAATTTTAAAGGGGTAATTTTGGATAAAGTGTTTCTGGAAAAAGAAAGATTGTTACTGTTTTTTTTCCCCCTATTAAAAAAAAAAAAAAAGAGGGTTTTCCATCTAGTGGAACTGAGTGAAATTGCAATGCAGAGAGTTTAAAAGAGAAGGACCATTCTCGTGGGAAAGAATTTTCTCTGACCTTGAAGGACAATGCTTGTACAAAGGCTTGAACAAGTGTTCCTGGAAGGTTTTGCAAAATTAAGTGCCCAGCTGGACCAGATGCGTCAGGAGTCGACCTTGATGAGGACGGAAGTTACCAGAGCACAGCAGCAAACAAATGAAATTCAGTTAAAGTTTATACAAGTATATGAACCTGCTGTAGCGACGGAGGCTTCAGAGATGGAGGGACCTATGGATGGGCAAGATCAGCCTTTGAACTTGATAAATGAACTTGGGACAAACCTGATTCGGAAAGATGAAATGTGGTCAGATTTGGAAATGGGGGATGGATTGACACCCTCCATATGGTTATTTGGACTTTCCGAGTCTAGTGATGGGCCATCAGAGGATTGGAGTAGTCGAAGTCTCCAAGTTTTGTGGAAATTGGAAGTGGTATTATCTGCTGTCTGGCTTGGGTAATGGGTTTGGGATGGACTTGCTGCAAAGAGTCAAAAGCATCTTCTTGCTGGAGTATCCACGACTGAAAGGGAAATATCAACAAGAGTGGCGAAAGGGGCAAGAAAGAGACTTGAGGGCCTCGGATACGAGACAACCAGGTTAAGGAGCCGGATTAATGAGGTTAAAAGGACTGACAATCCCGGGTCCAGGGGAGGGGAGGCTGGAAGTTGACTGGATTGAATCTGACTTATTGTTTTTTCTTTCTTATTTTTTAATATTGGGAATGTTTATAAATGTTTGAAGGATGTTGAATGAAATTATATGACTTAAGTAAGGATTGGTAAATGATTTGAAAAAGGTAATGATGTAAGAATTTGCTAAATATTGAATATAAGCTTTGAGTTTTAAAGTTTTTATATGACAAGAGGGATTATTGAATTATGAAACGCAATTATTGTTTGTTATTTAAAAACAGTTAGGTTTTGCTGTTAAAATTAAATACTAAGATACTAGAGAGGGTAGGAGGAGGAAGTCTAGAAAGGAAGTTAATGGAGATCGTAAAGGATTTTATATTTCTGTTTTTCTGTTTTTCTTTTTTTCTTTTTTTGCGGCTGGGTTTTTTCTTCTTTATTATTTCTGTATTATTTTTGTTTTTTTTGTATTTTCAAACTTTTTTGGAAATTTTTGTTGTTACTTGTTATTTTTTGAAAATTTAATAAATATCAATTCTAAAAAAAAAACAAAAAACAAAAAAAACAAAACAGAGAACATGTCCATTAATGGTTCTTGGTCACGAGGGCTAAATGAAACTTCCAGATGCAAAGCCATTGTATCCCTAAACACCAGTTGTTGGAGAACACCAGTAGGAGAGGCATATTGCCTTCAAGCTGCCAGAAGCATGTGGCTGGTCCCTGTAAGAAAGGAATGTACCACATTGGGTCATTGGTCGATGCTGCATTTTATTCATGCCTTTAGCCAGAGCCCACCTCTCTAGGATGTGTCAGGAGGAAGTAGAATCAAGAGAAAGAAAAGAGGATGTATTTGATTTGCTTTAGCATATTGTAAAGAAACCAGGTAATTCTTCAGCAGCTGAAAGTGTGATACTGCTTTCCAGCTGCAAGGAAAGACAGCCGTCATTCTCAAACGATTCCTGCCTCTTGGTCAGAAATGGGGTTTTTTCAAAAGGATAGTGAATCTTTGGTTCACTTGGAAAATTGTAGCCACGTCCTTCTCATGCAAATAGGCACAGGAGTCCTTCTTGTGCTTTCATCCTTCCTCCATGAGGGACATCAACATGGGAAAGTTCCCATCTACTCGCTGTCAGTGCAATGTGGGATGGCTTTGCAGCAGCAATGATAATGCAAAGGTGACACATTAGTTCACCCAAACAAGTCTTGTCCTAGAACCTGCAAGAACTCGTTTGGTTTTTACCTGGTGAGCTGGTACTGCTGGGTGTGCAGACACTATCGTCTAACCACGCGCTCTGAGTCAGGGACTCCTGCTTTTGGGGACCTTCAAGGGAACACATCAACTCCTGCACAAGAGAAATGGGGAACGGGCCTTAGAGGATGCTGCAGCTGCTCAGCTGGGACAGGAGGACTACTTGAGTGGAAAGGGGATTTCCAAGACCCCACACTGACCGCCTCGTTCTCCTCCTCCTCCGACGTCTCATTTTCTCTCACTCCGCTGCAACAGCTGCTCACATTGGACGAGGAACGGGACAAGGGCTGCATCACACAATACCCTGATGTCTGACCGGAGAGCGTTCTGCTGGAGGAACACACAAGCCCCAAATCATCACTCTCATAAATCTCAAGGGCCACCAGCCCAGCATTACAGTTCATAAGCCTCTGTGACAAAAGCCTAACTTTGTGAGAAGTCTTAAAAGCCTGCCCAGACTTGCTCAGGTCCTCTAGTTCGTTAGAGCTCAATACGCACATTTAAAAATGAAGCACTGTTTATTGTTCGTTAAATGTATATCTCAACTTTTCTCCCAGGAGCTGAAGGTGGTATACATTGTTCTCCTCGTTGTTATCATCACAACAACCCTGTGAGGTAAGCTTGGGCTGAGAGACAGCCGTTGGCCCAAAGTCACCCAGTGAGCCTCATAGCCAACTGGGGATTTGAACCCTGGTTTCCAAAGGCTTAGTCCACTACTCTACATTGGCCCAATCACTTTCCTGTTAATATAACATAGCAGGGTGGAGGTTCCCTCCCCCCCCCACTTTACACAAGGCTTCCCAGCGTTCTTTTGTTCTCAACTCACTTGTTCTTCCTGTTGGGGAATTCTGGGGAGCTGGGACTGGAAGAGCCGTCCGACTTGAGGTCAAAGAAGGGCCCTGGGCTCTCCAACACTTTCTGTATCCTTTCAGCAATGTCTTTGCTTTGGAGGAAAGGGAACAAAAACATTTACAACATGGAGCCAAATGTCCTTGCATGAAATCCAGTGGCTTCATTTCTTTAAGACTCTTAAATTCTCCTTCAGCCCATATGGGGACAGAATGAATTCCTCCAAAGGTCATGAGAATGGAAATTGACCCTTTCCCAAAAGTCTAACCAGTGACCTGCATAGCCTCCTGCCTTTCTCTGTAGCAAACAGCACATTGAACTATATATATATATAT